ACATGTGGACAAAAGGAACTCTTCTTGAACAGGGATCTCAAAGATAACTTCCTTGCATGGTTCGGTGCACCAAATACGACAGATGATACTACAGTTTATTGTCGACAGATTTTGCTTTATGAACCGTAGTACCATCGAGGCTATGCTAAATGCAGATGACTTTATTATATTTATCGTTTGTAATTAGCCTTGTCCTAATGATGCCACGGTTTATATAGCAAAATCCGTCGACAATGAAATGTGACATCATCTGTTGTATTTGGTGCCCCGAACCATGAATCTTTCAGACATCTGTCTATATAACAGTGGTCTCATAATCATAGACCTCTAGAATTATTTGTAACCTTATTTTCTTGTTGCTTATCAGGAATGTCAGACCGCGATGGGATCATAACCACGAGCAGCTTACATCAATGGAATTTCTGCTGAATGGCATAGGCTGTTTTGTTTTTTTAACACATTCGCCATGAGGAACCCATTGCTGCATCGTAGAAGGAAATATTCGGCAAATCTGCATTTACCTTGTTCCTCCATACCTCCTCATCGTCGTTTACTACGTTTCGGCTCCGTGTCGAGAAGTGAAGTTCACTTAAGTAAACAGCTTGTGCTCAACCAACTTTATTTAATCCCTACATGTGATGAGTTCACCTGTGCATAAAAAAGAAAGCAGCCGTTGTCATGTGATCTGCTATGTTACAATCATTATTATAAAAGCAAACATTTCTGACCACAGTTCAATGGTGGTTTGTGCTTTTTCGTTACACCGGAAAACCGCTACAACAGAACCTGGACATTTACGTACCCTCAGATGAGGATGGATGTGTATGCGCACTTGAAGGCAGAAGGTATAGTGACACGCCATTATTTACGTTGTTTAATGAATTCAGAACTCTTTTGGATTTCTTCCTTCCCTTATATACCTGTTACCTATTGAACGATTATGGAAAAGGCCAGACTTATGTCAGTCCTCGTTTTTACTGCCTCTATTTTGGCCATTACCCATCCAGTACTTTGAGCATTACACTCAAGTTCGTACAAGTTAACTGACGCATGTATTCTGCTCGACTAAACAGCTGAGGAATTGCACAAATATGCACAATATACAGGAAAGCAAGTAGCAGGCCAAC